ATTCAAGAAAGTTTCAAGCGACTTGAAAACCATCCTTATGACTGACTTAGCTGACTTGCGGTTTTGCGGTTTCTTGAGCTTTGAGAAAGGCGAGACATGTCAATCAATCTTAATTTTGTTGCGTGGGAAAATAACCTGAAGTAAAAATGAATCGGTTGTGTGTGAAGCTTTATTTTACTTGAAGTAATTAAAATTTACTTGTCTTGAAATATGTCTTAGCTTATTTAGGCTCTAGTGTAAAGACTGCCATTGGTAATCTATTATTTCTATTCCTTTCATACTTAGCTAATTTTTAGAGCCTACTGACCAAAAGTCTATTCTGAGATTGAAAAAACGTAACAACATAGAAACAACAACGTACAGTTCTTTGTTTTAAACAGTACCAAATATTTAAAAATCTGGTCGGATGCTGAATTGTTAAGACTGAAGCAGTCATAGAGAGTCAGAATTAGGCCTTGTTGGTGCCTTCCCCTGCGTTCCGTATGCCTTCCCTTTGTTAATATGTATAAGTGTCTTCCTGCATACTAATTTAGTGCCTTCCTGTATATTAATTATGTGCCTGGTCAGTGTCTAGCTAGCTAGGTAAAAAATGCGTTCCTCCATACTAATAGGCAAAGTTTAATATATTACACATTACCTCACATTGTTTATGCTCATCAAAGATTTGTCGATCATCTTAACGACAGACCCGTAACTTTGCCAAAAGGACTTCGCCTTTTTGGAATATGTTGTTACGTTTATAATTTGTAGTTTCCGTCTAGCCCAAGCAGTTTGTGTATAGATTACAAAATTATGTTTATTCAGATCGGGAAATGTTAAAGAAGTTATTAACCTTCCTGGGTCTTTTCGCCAGAGGAAAGAAAAAGTATAACTTACAGTAAAGGTTACTGAGTATCAAATATTGTGATGTATAATCTAAAGAGACAAGTTTACACGTAACGGCAAGTCGGGTCCAATTTCTCCAAAAAAAAATTCTAAACACAAAAATCGGGTTAATTTGCCACGTGGGTAGAATCGCGTATAGACGGAAAGATTGGCTTAGAAAAGTTAAGTGTGAACTGGACGCAGTCAAAGAGTTTCTTGAATGACAATCTGCCTTTATAACATATTAAATTTCTTGGGTTATTAACTTCAGCGATACAGACTTATGGCTAGAATACTTTTCCATATATGACTATAACTATGATCGAATTTGATTTTAAAGTTTTTCTTTTTGTTTTAAAATCAGTTAAGTATGAATTTCTGGATTTCTTTGCATAGGTTTAGAAGCTTATTGAAAGTGTATAAATGGACGCTTCGCTTTTAGCCTTGGCTAAATTTATAGTAACATAAAGGTTACAACTTTTCGTCGGTAAGCATCGTATACGATAAAAGAAAAAACTGTGAAAAGGTAAAAGAAACAAACAAAAAAAAGCTTTTATTGGGAAATATATGAATCGCTTCGTTCTTTACTGGACGCAATTTCCGCAATTGATGAGACAAGCTTAAGTATGTGATTAAATATGGTAATGAAACTGGGTGGAGTGCTTAAAACAAAATCACAGACAGAATCTACCAGTTGATCGTAGCTGAGACAATGCATGTACTGTTCTATTTCTCTGCCCTAATACTGCAGTCAGATAGAGCAATGACGCGTTATATACGTAAAGGAGAGGTTTATAAGAGGGTTAGAAATGAAATAGCACTATAAAAAAGAATTACCTTTTTCAAATTCGATGTAAGTCACGGCTTCTGTCTTGAACACTTTTGCATATGGTGCAATACATTTGTAAATTCCTCTATCTTTCATTGTTATGTCTCTTATTACTAAAGTTCCATTTATCAGCTGGCGACTTCGTCCAGCAGGTAGTTGGCCATCTTGTTTCTTCCAGCTGATGACAGGTTGAGGATCACCAGTAGCCTTGCAGTCTAGGGTCAAAGTGCTGCCCACTCCTGGGAAAACTTTAGCAGATGGTTTAACAATGAATCGAGGAGGAGAGACAACAACTAAGAAAGTTTTCTTTTCAACGCGTCCCAACAGGTTTGATGCCGAACAGAAGTAGAAGTCAGAGTCATCTTTACTAATATGTAGTATTTGTAATGCACTGTTGTTGTACTTCACCCTTCCCTGGGGTAATGGACCAGATGTCTTTCTCCAAGTGACCGCGGGTGCAGGATACCCAGTCACGTTACAGGATGGGAAAGTGTAGTTGCTTCCTTCAATAGCGTGATGAGGCCCCGGATGAAGGGAAACTCGAGGGTAAACTACAACAAGAATATTTTTATGGTATGATTAATAAGAAGAAAATAGGAAAGAAATAGGCTTAAATGATCTAAGCCAGGTCACCGAGACTTTTTTCTAAAACTGTTGCCTTCTGTTAGGGACATATATAGGGAAACTTATTAGTTAGTATTTTTGACCAATTCCCTTCGATAAGTGGCTTGCCTTGATTTTATTAACTAGAGGAATTAGGATTTTAAGGCTACATTGTACAATAGCGCTGACAGCTAACCTGAGAAAGGCATAAATAGCTCTGAATAAAAAGCGACGACAACAATATATGGTAGTCAGTTTTATAAGTTGTTTTTCTACTTTGTTTTGAAATAAGTTATCCAAAGCACAATGTAAGGACAGCAGGATCTTCGAAATTGGTATAATACTATTCAATTTTCTATCTAAAGTTCATAGCGATCTTACCATTTACTATCAGCTGTACTAGTGCCTGCGCCTCTCCTAAAATGTTGACCGCTGAACAGTTATATGTACCCGAATAACTTCCTCGGACATTCTTAAGAAGCAGCTTTCCTCCTGAAACCACTGACCCACTAGACCGTCTGTTCGTTTTAATCCATTTTATCGCAGGTTTAGGATTACCACTCACTGAACACTGAAACGAGGCTGAACCACCTTCGTTAACTGTCAGCGTTTTAGGGGACACGGCAACAGCAGGGGCTGAAATCGATTCACCAGGTTCTCCTTTAGCTCCCGGCATGCCTGCAGGTCCCATGTCTCCTTTTTGTCCCTTGAGTCCAGCATCACCCTTCGGGCCTACAGGTCCAGTGATACCTTGCCTGCCGTTCATTCCTGGAGATCCTATAATACCTTGGTCTCCTTTGTTTCTCCTTCGTCCCTGGGATCCTTTGTCTCCCTTCGGACCAGGTGGACCGGGAGGACCTGGGAGACAGCTATGACCATTTGATTGACAGAGTTGAGGTTTCAGCTCGGACAACAGTTTGTTAATCTTCAGAATTGTTTCCCTGTCTACTGTGATTTAAGCTTCCGTGGTGTTTTTCAGTACATCGGCTGCTCGCCTATTCCTATGGAGTTTGGCATATTCAGATTCTACAAAATATGTCAGTGCTTAAGATCAAAACAGAGAACCCTGTACCTAGTTAATCTTAGTAAAAACCCTTAATGCAGAGGTCCACTTAACGCGTAAATAAAACCGACTTTTTGTTTGTTGCTGGATCAGAAATGTAGAGATGCTAATGCCAGACGTCACTTGGCAATACGGGGCTGATTTTATTTGAGGCCAATTAAAACAAATTTTAGCCTCAAATAAATCAGCCCTTTCCCGTATTTCCAGCCTTGCATTCAGTTTTGTTTTGGTTAATCTTGGTATACTGATGGAAATATGATCATTACCAGGGAAAAAGAAGAGATAAAAAGCCAGACAAAATCGTTAGCAGGGTAGGGTGGGAAACGAAATTTAATTTCCTTAAGAAACGTCATCATTCAGCAAAAGGCTAAGTTGCGTTTTCATAAACATTACCTGCTCTACCAGTACAAACCGAGACATATTAGAAAAACTGAACGAACTTACATATAAGGCAGCTACGAAAAATCGGCCTTAAGAAGTAGAAGACAACGGATTTTGATTAATACGCAGCTTACAGAAAAGGCGTCAAAATAAAAAAAAAGCTGATTATACAGGTATTTAAGGTATTTTATTATTTTAGTTTCAAAGGTTGCATTAAATGTTGGCATATAATCAATATAAGGAGAGTTATGGGCCTAGTTAGCGCACTGTATAGTAAATTAAAGTATTATGTATATGTTATATGTAATGTATTGTTTGTGGAGTTGTTGATAAAGTTAAAAAATTTATTTAACGAGAGTTCGAGAACTTTATACAGTAAAAATGACCGCATTTTCGCCGGCGATTTAGCCGATCTCCTTTTGGTGTGATATTCAAACGAGGTGTTTGCAAGAAGAGAGATGACAGACCTTTAGTCGGGGTAATAGAGCACTAAAAATAAATTGGGTAAAAGGAGATTAGGAAAGACAGGAAAGCCTCACTGGCTCCGCCTCACTGATAACGCCGCGTGCGAAATTGACTACACATAGGAAATACAAAAATTGCTCTTCAGGAACTAAAACACATGCAGACTATCCTCGTGATTGACAGGTCAATCTAGGAAAAATGAAAAGCTCTTAAGTTTCACTAACTCAATAAAACAATGTTTGTTCGCCAAAAAGGAATGAAGGCTTTAATTAGTTCTCGAAGAGAATAAAGCCAGTGTAGTCTACTCAAATTTAACGACTGTATCCTATCTGCACCTAATCACGACGTTTTTTGATGACGTGCAGACTCCATAAATAAGAAATATAAGCACGGGGAGGCGGGACGTACTCCCTCATATAAGCTATATAGGTATGTGCCGCCCCATCGGGTAGGGTTTTTGCGCCGTTTTGGCTTAAAAAGAATATACACTTTGCCCATTTTGCTCTGGGATCGGGTATGGTTTTCGATGGAACTATGCGAGTGTATGCACGTATTTATCGTTTCAATTCCGGATAAATAGAAAAGAAAGGAAAAAGTGCAAATTCGAAATGGATTTGAAAAGTGTTTTGGTTTGCGTTCTACGTAATGATAACATAATTTCTGCATAAAGGCCAGGTCTGAAGACGGGTGTGTAAAATTACATTTTTAAGTCTAAAATTGGGTCAGGATTTTGACAGGATTTGGAAAACCGGGCGGCAAAAATTGACAAAAATTGACAACAACGGTTGCGTAACGCGACGCCGAGACTAGTATTACAGAAAGATTACGCATATGAAAAAAGGCTACCAGAAATCAACTACTCCAAGCGCGATAAAAAGGTACTAATTAAACTAACTTCACGCAACGCAAAACATGAAAAATAAAGAATACGAAAAAACTCGCAATCTGTCGTGGCGACACCTTAATTAGGAACAGACGCTTGCTATCTTAAACTGTTCCGAATATTAACGCAGTCTTTGAAGTTTTTACAAACTCATAAGAGCAAACCAAGAAATCAAATTAAACTGTCAGACTTGATGTTCTTCAATTGAAATCATTTCCTTACATATGAAAAACAACACTGTATATAAGTCAATGCAAGAAATCGCGTTCGAGTAGGTTTAGGTATTCTAAAAACAACAGAAAAGAGAAAATGGATAGCTTTTCCTTAAGGTAATTCTCTTGAAATTGTTCTACTATCAAACTTTTTTTGAAACTTGGCATAGTCAACATTCATGATATGCACCGTGTTAAAAAAATGCAATAAAAAGATGGGGTCACCGTGCCAATTTACGCGTCATCAGGCTCTTAAACTGGGGTATTTTTACTAGTTGCGCGTTAAAATTCGAATCACCTTCATACAGAATTAAGTCTTTGTTAACACACGAAATTTTATCTCGAACATTAAGCTTCTTTTATTCAAATAAGCAGTATTGCTTCATTTAATCATTTTCTGATTGCCTGGTTGTGGGGATATTACACTTTTTTGGACAGTCCCATGGTTAGCTTGAAGTCCTCGCCTGGACCCAAATAAACCAAGTACGGAACTATTTTCCAACAAAAAAATGTTCTACTATCAATTTTTTTTTCTTCAAATGTGTTCTTTATTAGACTGTTGGTCTTAGCAAATTCCTGGAAAAAAAACGGGTGTCACCGTGCTTGTTTCCTCACAAACTGCTATAAAAGGTGAACATGGTTTTGAGATCGCAATCAGGATAGATAATTTGCGCGGCGGGGACTGGGGCGAGATACAAAATAGCGCCCATCGTGTTCGAACTATGCGTTCGAGATCAAGCTTGTTTGCGGTTGTTTTTATGTGTTTGATATCGCAAACACAGAAATTCATACTTGAAAAGAGTAGAATAAATACCAAGGAATGAGGTAAGTCAAGATTTGATGGGATTTTGGACTTATGGATCTTTATTTTTGACGATTTGTAGCTCCAGCGTTCTGTTGAATTCCAATGAGCTAGGGTTCGATTTTTTTGCTTCGGCGCAATAATGCTTGAGAAAGAAACTTGAAGAAACGACTATTGATTCCTATTCTTCATTTGTTCGCTTGTTTGGTTTCTATACAGAGCGAAATGTGAATTCAGCAGCAAACTTCGTGCTTACATCGAAGATTGGTCTCCCTCGCGTCGTTCTGGTGGGTCTTATTTACTCCAGAAATATTCGTCTCTTCACACCCGGAGTTTGAACGACATATGTACAGTAGCGATCCCGGGCCAGATGTTGGCTCGTTAACGTAGTTGGAGAGCCGTAGAGCTGTCCCACAGACTTCACAGCCCCCATCCAAAGCCTCAGCCAGGACATTTAAATAATTCCACAACTCGACGGCCGCGAAGTGAAAAACCACTGCAGACTTCTCGAGACTTCGGGATCACGCACATTTCTTTCAGTTTCTTGTTTTTCGATAGCAAATCAGGAAGCTGTCAGCCGATCTGCGGCATTATTATTGCCAATAAAAGCTTTAGCTGTGCAAAAGCGGCCCTTGTTTGTTCTTTTCGTGCTAGCGGGAACTGAAAACCGTCGCCATCTTGGATGTCACAATATTATGCACAGTAGAGGGTGAGCAGTGCAAAACAAGGGAATTACCTTAAAGACAAAAATGACAATTTCTGGTGGAAGTGATAATTTTGTTGCAGTAGCGTCCGTAGATGTCCTCACTGCAAACAAAAATGTCGTAAATCTTGTCGAAAATCGAACTGTAAATTTTAAATGACTATTTATGATTTAAAAATCTTCGTTTCGTTTTGAATAAGAATAAAATAAGTCGACCTTGATTACTCGTATTTGCAAAATTTATCACTTGTAGTCTCCCTGAAAAGCTACGTGACATTTCTCTTGTCCCATCAATCCTAAAAAAAGATGACGGATATTAACGTCAATAGGTAGAGAGAGTTGAGAAAGTCTGACGGCTTAGTCTCCTCAGTGCATTCAAGAGCGTTTATTCTCTTTTTCTGTTCGTTCAGATCCAGTAACCACTGTTACTCCTTTCATAGAACGAAAGGAGTAACAACGGTTACGCAATAAAGCCAAAAAAATCAGTAAAACGACAAACAGACACCAATTTGCAGTGGAATACATTGCAGGTAAGTGAGTCTTTTGTATTCATTTTATTTAAAGAAAAAGTAAGGTTTAGCGTTATTTAGCGTTCGCAGATCTCAGTAATATATTTCTCATACAAAGTCTCTTATATTTTCAACGGTCGCCTGTAACGCGACACCGCCGCGTCACCTATGTTATGTAAATTACATTACACCCTTCCCTCGTAAAGTGAGTTTGGGCCGCCTGTGACAAGGCAAGTGTCTTTTTAAAGCTTTGCGCTGTTGTGGTATTTGCTGTGACAGGGTTTTTTAGGCACGCTAAAACTTCAGTCATCATGCTGATTTACTGAAAACTATGCAAACAGCAAATTAAAGGAGAATTTATACCATAATAAGGAAGAGACGAGATCTAAAACGTGCTACATTCTGAGTTGAAGTCTGCAGGGGTTTTTCAAAAATAGTGAACGCTTTATTGAGGTGTGGTAAAGCACCTAATTGCCTGAAGTCTGATGGTTATCTTACCTGGTCTTAAGAAACCATCTTTAAAGACCAACGATTTTAGCAGTTTTCGCCCCTATTTCCAACCTTAAATTTGCTGCTAAGGCAATTAAGAAAGTTGTGGCTTTTCAGACCAGCCTTTTATATATCAGACAATAACTTACAGGAGTTATACCAATTTGCTTATAAACCCTATCATAGTACGGAGTCTGCACTTGTTAAAGTTCATGATGACAGCCTTAGGCCCTAGGATAATCAGAACTCTGTGATACTCTTGTTATACTAGACCTATCGGCGGCTTCTGATATAGTGGATCATAATATCCTGCAGTCGCGTTTGAAACCAAGATTTGGAATCAATGGCATTGCTCTTGACTGGTTCAGGTCTTATCTTTCCAACAGGACTTACAAAGTCACTGTTCTGGGTGGTCGATCTACAGAGCGACCTCTCATGACCGGTGTGCCACAAGGGAGTGTCCTGGAGTCTATATTATCCTCAATGTATACTTCACCTCTTGGAGATGTCATTAGTCTACATGACTTGACTTACCATCTTTATGAGGATGACGCCCAGCTCTATGTCACTTTTAAAACAACTTGTTCTGATGATATGAACGTGGCGAGATAACCCATAGAAGTTTGCATAAGTGATGTTGGCGCATGGATGGCCTGCAATAAACAGAAGCTAAAAAGTATAGCAAAACGGAACTTCTAGTATCGAATGCGCGGCATCGTCATTAGCCACCACTAGAAAGACTGCTGGGCCCAGTTTCTCGAAGCATGGTTAGCGTTAACCAGCGTTTAATACCTTGACAACGTATTGGTTTTGATACTGCTTAACCAATGGTTAAAGCTAACCATGCTTTGAGCAACTCAGCCCTGGTGTGTGGTGATAACATCTCTTCGATATCTAAAGCGCGCAATATTGGTGTCACTATTTTTAAGCCAAAAATAAAGAGATACAAATTAAACGAGCGAGATCGTTGTACCAGAAAAAGAAGACTGAGCAGATCGAAGGTCTAAACTATTCCTATACGCCTCACCTTTGAATACTCTCTGATCCCGTCACACTCTTTTGACTAAAGTTTCCGGCCATTTAATGATATTTTCAGAGTTAACAGTTCATTTGTCATCATTTTGAATTAGTTCTTTTGGTTTGCTCGAGTTAGAAACGGTGAGAATGAGCAGATTCAGATTTCTTCAATTTGAACTTTATTTTGATCATACTCTTCGATTATATTAGAAAAGCTTTTATCTGTAATGCGCTAAAAGCGCTTAAACGGGATTGGCTCGCCAGCGCTTGGGCGTCTTAGTTCCTCCTTTCTTCTCTCCCCTACAAACGTGTGAACACGGGCTTCATACGCGCACCGTGAAAGCTAATCAAGTATTATATTATTCACTCAAAATATTTCCCCAATTCTAATTGTCTAAAAGCACACGCATAATTCACCATAACCAGTTACTGATGACCAAATTTGGAACAATTTTGTGTTTAACGAGGAAATGAGGTTGAGATGTTTTGGTTATGAAAAAAAAAATGGCGGACATTTCACGCGTTTCAAGAGTAAGAGCTACAGCTGGAACTAGGCGAAATAATAGCTAAAAACATGGCAAAAACAGCAAAAAGACAACTCGGAGGGCGACATCTGCTATTTGGAGAATATTTGCGGAGCTGGACAAACCTAAACGTACACAATCGAAGATGAACTTTAACATCGATGCAGGTAACCATGTTTTAGCTATATGTTTTTAAACTAGGAATTATTTTGAATGAATAATAAAACAGTTAATGACTTCGGCTTTGTTTGGATATGAAAAATTAAGCAAATCTCGGAGGGTGTTATCCACCTCGGCCTTAGGCCTTGGTGGATAACACCCTGCTCAATCTGCTTAATTCTTCATATCCTACTCAGCCTTATCATTCATTAATTGCTAATTATAACTAGTAATAAATGAGTCAATCTGGGACCAAATAACCATTTTTATGTCTTCCCTTATCCTTTCTTTAATGTCTGGAATTTTGGCGGTGGGGGTAGTTTGCGGCTTGAAAGGCTTCGAGGCTCTCGTATGTGAACACTGAATTATCTTACAATGGTTTACGATCGAATGAGAATCACAAGACGGAAAGTAAATTTACTCCTTAGCAATGATTACGAGTTCCTGCAATAAGCCCTATCGCAGTAAAATTACTTAACCTCGATCTCGCAATCTCGCAGAGACCCCTTATAAGAGGGTAAACCTTGTGTTAATCCTCTCGGTCTTCAAGCTTAACTTTTGATAGCCGACAACAACCAATCGACCCGCCTTCGCCGCAATCTTCCGCCTACTTTATTTGCTTTAGGTACTATTTTGTAGTTTGGTTGCCTTTTCTTCTGTTCCTCATTTTTGCTAGACCTTTAATACCTTAGCATTATTTCATATCTTAACATGTTTGTAATGGTGTACCTTGACCAATCCATCTATTTGCAACCCAAAACCGAGTGAATTAAATAAAGTAACCTAATTTTCATCCCTCAGATGTTAATAACCCGCTCAAAATACTTTTTGGAAATAAACTTTAATTCAAAGTGAGCTTGCAATTTCCGTGCTCACTGAACCTTTGCCATGATTCCATATTGCAGACAACGCCTTCCTTCATAGCTTTGTGGGGTGTGTGCAAAAGTTTCAAATTCCACAAAAAATCGATCTTGCAATGAACAACTGGTAAATCAAAACATGTGATTACAAAGCATTCGGAAGCAAAGATATTTTGAGGTCGAGGCATCCTGATCAAGGTCTCGATTGCGCATCCTTACTTATTTGGCTCATTTCATTTTTCAGATCTCTGTATTTCCCAAGTCAATTTCTAATAGAAAAGTAGATTACAACTTCGGACAAAAGTAGAAGTTATTGCAGCATCTAAAAGAATTCCATGTTATGTATTAAAAAACTGGATACTGAAAAGCTGACGTTCAGGGAATCTACAGTGCAATTTCTCTAAATACACCACTACCTTGATCTGGACAGCTTCAACTTAACCAAGTGGACTAAAATTGCAACCATGATCTAAACATTCTAAAGCTTGAATACTGAAATTCGTTGCTATAATTATATAATGGTTTGCCCAAAAGCGCATGATTAAAGGGACATAGTCAGCTGATGCACATGTGCATTAGATACCATTTCTTAGCTGATTTGCATGTCACAAGATGCGCGTGAAACAAAAGCGTATCGTGAATACTCTAAATAAACCTTGTAAAGTTGAACTAGTTATACAAGCCGAAATCGTGATTATAGGCCCTAAGCCACATCAGAGCACTCATTTTTTATATACCATTGAGAATTCACCGATGGATTTTTCCAGGGAAAGCCAAACATCGACCAATACTTCCGAATTTGAACACCAGTAGAGGTGAGAAATTGCACGAAGTATGAATGAAAGGTTCACGGTCGTTGTTACGAAAAATTGTATTGCGTGACTAGCGTGACTTTCTAGAAGCTTCGCGAGAGTTCGTAGTTTGTTTATTTTAGGATCTTGCGTATGCGTTCCTAAAGCGGTACATTTTGTAATCTTTCTATAATTAGACTATTTGGAAAGTTCTAGAATCTCATTGTAAACCTATATAAGTAGGCGAGCCCGAGTTAAGTTTTAACTAGTTTTCACAAGCGAGGAGAGTTCGACGTTGGTCGTGTTTAGTCAAGTGTGACGACAGCAGTGTTTATTCAAGTTGGCGGAGGCCTGCGTTCAGTTTACTTTGCAAGCTACCTGTCCTCTAAAAGATTACCCGCGTAACATTGGGGGCCTGTCCGGGAGAGGAATTCAATTGTTTGCCGACTACAGTAACCAGGAAAGGACAGTTCAAGAAGAAGGAGTTACAGTGGAAGTAAGAAGAACTGCTACGAGGAAGTATATCGAGTGTGTTTGCTGTGAACTATCGCTATGGAAATGGAAAAGCTTTTGCAGATAGGCAAAGAATTCGGATTGGAGGGAGAAAAACTGCTCGAGTTTGTGCGGTAGCAACAAAAGTTAGAAGAAGAAAGAAGGAGGGAGGAGGAAGAAAAAGAAGAAAAACGTAGACAATTGGAAGAGGAAAAAGAAGAAAAGCGTAGACTGTTGGAAGAACAAAAAGAGGAGAAACGTCGAATGCTTGAGGAAGATAGATGAAAAGAAGACGAAGAAAGAGAAACTAGGCGGCAAGAACGCGAACTGAGAAAATTAGAGATGGAAGCCGAGCTGTTGAAACAGAAAGAGGCTATTGAAGCGGCAAAGAGGGAACACGAGTTGGAAATTGCACGTTTGGCTGCAGCAAGTGCTGGTGGACGTCCTGAAGTGAGAGAGGATAGGGCAAAGGCACCCAAGCTTCCCTCATTTGTTGATGGCAAGGACGACTTGGATGCTTATCTACAAAGATTTGAGAGATTTGCAGCGACAGCTAANGTTTGAAGAGAGCAATTTCTGGTTTGATATTTATTTTTTTATTAGTCTTTTATTATTCAACAAAAATAACACTTGGCGCCCTATAATGATAATAATAATAATAATAATTTAATAACTTCTAGAGCGCTAGTTACATTAACTGATCAACAGCGCTTAACAACTTAAAAAACTACAATAAAATTCAAATTTGTAAAACTAATTACATGTACATGAATATTACATGCTACTTGCTTTATTGTACAAACGACCGGTTTCAATAGACCGGCGAAATTTCTCATTTTATTAAGGCACTGAGGTTACGATAACTTCGAGTTAAACTGATTTCACGGGTTGTCAAAGAGTCGAGCGATTCCCTTTTCCCAGGTGAGCGCCGACTCATTTCGCTTATTTCATTGCCTTTCGCCCGGCATGTTTTGCATGGCGTTAGTCATGCGAAACCTCCACGAAACATCCACGCAGCGCGCGAGGTAACTTTATCCCGATTCTAAAAATAACTCGAGACGAATTACCTATGGAATAGGGTGTGTATGGGGGATGCCTTCTCTGTCCCCTTTATCCTCTCTTGATGTAATGTAATGTATTGTTTGTGGAGTTGTTGATAAAGTTAAAAAATTTATTTAACGAGAGTCCGTGAACTTTATACAGTAAAAATGACTGCAACATTCGCCGGCGATTTAGCCGATCTCCTTTTGGTGTGATATTCAAACGAGGTATTTGCAAGAAGAGAGATGGCAGGCCTTTAGGCGGGGTAATAGAGCGCTAAAAATAAATTGGGTAAAAGGAGATTAGGAAAGACAGGAAAGCCTCACTGGCTCCGCCTCACTGATAACGCCGCGTGCGAAATTGACTACACATAGCTAGGAAATACAAAAATTGCTCTTCAGAAACTAAAACACATGCAGACTATCCTCGTGATTGACAGGTCAATCTAGGAAAAATAAAAAGCTTTTAAGTTTCACTATCTCAATAAAACAATGTTTGTCCGCCAAAAAGGAATGAGGGCTTTACTTCTCGAAGAGAATAAAGCCAGTGTGCTCTACTCAAGTTTGACGACTGTATCCTATATAAATAAGAAATATAAGCACTCTCTTATATAAGCTATATAGGTATGTGCCGCCCCATCGGGTAGGGTTTTTGCGCCGTTTTGGCTTGAAAAAGAGTACACACTTTGCCCATTTTGGTCTGGAATCGGGTATGGCTTTCGATGGAACTATGTGAGTGTAGGAACTTATTTATCGTTTCAATTCCAAATAAATAGAAAAGAAAGAAAGATGTGCAAATTCGAAATGGATTGAAAAATGTTTTAGTTTGATGTGCTCTACGTAATGATAACATAATTTCTGCCTAAAGGCCAGGTCTGAAAACGGGTATGTAAAATCACATTTTTGGGTCTAAAGTAGGGTCAGGATTTGGAAAACCGGGCGGCACACCGCCGCAAGAATTCCCAGAAGAACGCCCCCCCCCCCCCAACCCCCCTGCAAACACTATCGGTCTCCACTGCCCCCCCGCAAATACAACAACAAAACCACAGTAGAGACCCAGAAGTATTAATTCACTAATTTCTCAAACAAAATAAGACAAAAAGTGCTACCAAATTTAAAAAACCCCCCCCCCCCCCCCAACCCCCGTATAAGTACTGTTGGTTTCACGTGACGTCACTAAAATTCAAACTTCAAAGCTATCGATAGAACTGATATTTTACTTTCATAATGTAGTAGAGCAGCTGAACACTAATTTTCATACAAATTTTCACTTCAAAAAGGTTCTTGGTTTCGTGATAGAGTACGCTTATGCGTGACGCGGCATTTACATGACGGCCAAGAGAGCTGTCATGTAGGTTAAAGAAATTACTTATTTCAGGGGATTTTGCTCTCTAAACAGTTCATGTATTAGAAACAGTATTACTTTAATGTTTATGAGTTCCTCGAAGAATAAATTCAAGCTTTTGTAGCAAAACTCGGTAACAGATGTTTCTGTTGGTTTCCGTCCGCCATGTTGGTGCTCATCCGGAAGGGCACCAGCATAACGTCTTCTTACAAATCTCTATTAATTTTGTGAAAACATTTCTTCGGATATCTCGTATACGAAATATTCCTCTGACCTGAATCTTGGCGAGGGTCTTTGCATAGTTACCTCCTTTCATTTGCCAGATTCTGGACTTTATCTATTGAACGGTTTTGATTTCTATTTTGATCTATTTTGAATTGCGTGACACTGAAAACCAGCAATTAAGGGAATTTTATAAGAAAACTTGTTGACTGAGCTGAGATTTAGTGAGAAGCCGGAAATGATAATTACTCGTCCAAAAAAATTTAGTCCCATCTGCTTGATCGATGCAGCTTTCTTAAAAAATGTTCGTCATCTTTAGTTTGAACTGTAATTTGAAAACAATAGTTCACCTACTATTCAGTAACAAAGATCATTAGGTGATCGATTGTTTTTGTTTGTTTTTGTTTTTTTTAATACTTATTCCCTACAAAGGAAACAAATGGTGACCTGTTCACCTTCGGTTTCTTTACCTCTGCGCCAAGAACACGCAAAGCCGGACAAGATATCTACTGTATATACAAGATTTTCTGCACTCGCAAGAAAAGACTTACCATGAGTATTCGTAGTTAACTTGTCACGGTTTGGAACATCGGGGGCCTTATTCTCCCAGTTGTTTTCAAGATCGATTATTCTCTTCTTCTGCTCGTTCAGCTCCAATTCTACTCTCAGAAAACCGGCGCAGTAAAACACAATCGACAAGACAGAAAGAAGCGAGGCAAAGGAAGGCAAACTCTGCTTCTGAGAAGCCATGGCTTAGCTACTGTTTGATTAGTCCGCATGAGACAACAGTGAATGGTTCATTGATTGTCTGGTTCATTCGATATCAAGGTCAGAATTATGGGTATCTTGCCAACTTTGTACTCCTCTTATTTTGGCTGTTTTGCTATCTGCAGAGTCAAAGTTCACTCATATTCAGGAAGTCTTACATCAGAGACTTTGGATCCACCACTCCGTGAGAGATAAGACCAAAGTACCCCCTCTTTCACCCCCTGCCGGCGACCCTAATGGCGACCCGCGTAAAACGTGGCAAATTATCCACGATCTTACATCTCGTAAGGCCGTTAATTTATCGATTAGAGAAATAAATCTAAATGGTACTTCTCCATCTGAATCATCCGACTTGTCGAATGCTTTCAATGATCATTTCTCATCAAAAGGACCTAAACTTGCCAATGACATCCCATTATCTAATAACAATAACCACTGTCATCGGGAATATGTCAAAGGCATCAATAATAGATTCGAATTCCGCCCTACTGATAGCGGACAGGTTTTGAAGCTACTGAATAAACTAAATAAGTCTAAGGGGCCGACCATTTAACTCTTCAGGGGGGCGGAGGGGTGGTTGATTTCTGGTCATCAAGATTTTTTTTTCTAGCAATCTGGTGGGCAGGATATTTTTTTCCCTTCTAAATGCTCTGCAGGATATTTTTTCCCTCCTCATTTCTCTGCAGGATTTGTTTTCCTCAAAAAAGGGTCATGTATTTACATATACAAAATGTATTTACATTTACATTGTGGTCATTGCAGTAATAGTTGTAATATGGAGCTGCAAGGCCTTAAAATGTTGTAAGCTATACAAAATCATTATTGTATAGCTATGTTTTCGGAAAGTCATTCTTTACACTCATTTTATATTACGTCAAAATAAAGTGATGTACCACAGGCAGATGTGAAAACGTTTAGTTTCTTAATTAAAAAAATAGCCAAAAATAGCAAAAAGCAGTTCAGAAATGCTCATAGCATGGTAATTCAGTAATTGCTACTAGAATCATTAGTTGCAATTTAAAAGTGGACTGAAATATCCATGGTTCACTTTCACTCTACGATAAAATTCACGGCTGAGATGTCAGAAAAAACGCAGATCACGTTCTTGGACTCAAAAGTGTACAAAGGAGTAAGACTCGACAAGGAATCAATCCTGAATGTGCAAACACATTACAAACCAACAGAAACATTCCAGTACACGAACTTCTACTCGTGTCACCCACCAGGCGTGAAAAAAGGCTTCATCAAAGGGGAAGCGCTCAGGCTTCTAAGGACTAATTCCTCGCAGATCACATTTGAGAGGAATATCAGAATGTTTCACAACCGCCTGTTAGAAAGAGGCTACCCTGCCTCTATTTTAAGAAAGTACCTCTCTGAGGTAAAATTTGCTAATAGGAAAACAGCCCTACAACAGAGAAACAAATCCTCACGCAAAAAACTTCTACCTTTTGTTACAAAACCAGCCGGCTTTACCTAGCCTGAAGAAAATACTTATGGGGAAGTGGAACCTTATACAAAACCAGCAACGTCTGAGTGAAATCTTTAATGAACCTCCCCTCATATCTTATCGCAAGGGAAAATCTTCTTAAGGACCTACTAGTTAGAGCGAAGCGACCAAGAAGTTGCTGGGAATGAGAGATCTTACTCTGAATCGTTGCATCGACGTGTGTCGCAGCGAGGAAGTTGCAGAGTTGCAAATGAAGTCGTTATCTGGGCCGGTGGATAACATTAATCAAGTAAAGTCAAGTTCTAAAAAGCCTCGAGCTCCAAAGCCGGTGGACGGGGGCGTATGGAAAAGCAGGAATCCGGAATCCGGAACCGGGAACCCGGAACCGGAACCGGAACCCGAACCGGAACTTAAATTGAGACCGGGGTAAACTGGGAAGCACTGAAACTAGTTCCGATTGTTCGCGATACCCGTGTGGAAATAAAATTCAAGATGGCATCCTCTGTTATCATTGTTTTGAGAAATCTTCAGCACAGTGATCGTGATACCAAAGACATACTCACATTCGGAAAGTGACTTGCAAAAAAAAAGGTAAGTGCATCCTACTGTTATTCCTAGCAGTCATAAACTGTGACTGCATCTGTAGGTCGAGCAACTTTCGACAGATCGAGACTACAACTAATCAGAAGCCGATTGCCTGCGAAAATCAGCCATTATTAGTATGTGATGATTAAGACCGCTGTGTTATTCATTTCCTTCTCTTGAGCCTAAGTTACTCATTTCTTTCGCTCATTTGATATTCTTTATGACAGAATCGCAATGAAAGTCAGCAATTATTTACTGGCGAGCAGACATTCCCTATAGCTGTTTATTATTAGTTCTAAATGGTAGTAACAGTGGGACCTAATTGTCTATAATGTAAATACTTAGTAATGACGAAGGGATTATGGGAGCAAAATTAAAAAAAAGGGGATTAGACAGGAACTAAGTGCCACTAGATTGATTTTACCCACTAGCAAAGGCACTGCAGTCTAGCTATAAAACTGTCCTGATAATTGGACAACTGGTTACTCTTAAAATTAAACCTTATTTCTGTCAATCTTTAGCAATTGATCACTGTTTTGGAGAGGGTTGAGCCTAAAGCTTTATTACTTGATAGCACAAATGAGACTGCGCCACTGGCAAAACACTAACACAAATTTCTTAAACAAAAACAACTTTAATAATCATGATACCTTCAATTGTTGATAAAACAGCAACAACGAAAATGTGGAAAATCGAACGCAATGAAAATGTCTGAAGACCTCCAAGTACCGCTGGACGGATGTGTTACCCACTTTGAAAGCCCCAGTCAACCTTTAAAATTATCCTGATAATTGAAGAAGTGATTAATGCCCCACTGTAATTCCTATTACTCTTCTGTAATCAATCACTGTTCTGGCAAGGTTTAAGCCTTGAGCTTAATTGTTTGATAGCACAAATGAGATTGTGCTGTTTGCAGAATACTATACACACAAATGTCTTAACCCTTTAACTCCCAAGACTTTCTAGCTGCAAGACATTTCCTTGTACATCAGTTAGAAGAATTTGAGGTTATATCAAGACAACACCCCATGGCTGAATAGTTTATCTATTCTCATCTCCTGTCTGCTGGACTGTGCAAGTTATAAGGAGAAGTTACATGCTAATCACCCGTGGGAGTTAAAGGGATAAAGAACAACAATTTCAATCATCATGATACCTGCAATTGTCAATAAAACAGGGACAATGAAAATGCCTAAAATAAAACATAATAAAAATGTCTGAAGACTTCTCTTGATATAAAAAAAGGACTATCTGAGTCAGATTAATTTTTCAACTGTATACTGACAATCTACGTTTAACTGACTGAATAAAGGCATAGTGATTCGATGCCTCTGGAGATCAAAAGAGGATGTCTATGGTTAAATGACTAAGATTGTTTGTTTTTACTTTACAAATTTACTATAACAATCATGGATTCTGCTCTTCGGATTAATTAGTGGTGTGATTTAAAAAATGTTTCAGTTATTTTCAACCAATAAATGTTGAAAATGACAAAGTAAATTTAAAATGGATCAGTTAAGGTTTCTGGGAAACTGCCCACCTACCCCTCCCCTAACCCAACATTTTGCCTAAAGTGAGAAGTCAGTGTTAACGTTGGGTTAGGGGAGGGGTAGGTGGGCAGTTTCCTAGAAACCTTAACTGATGCAAACAAATTTCAACATGGTTCTAATTTAAACTTGAAATGTATGCTGAGACCTCATAACCTGTGTGAAAATTAACCATGCACAATATTATTGAACAGAACTTCTCTAACCACTAACAAGTACAAAACAAAAGAAGGGAGAGATCCTTTAGCGGGCTTACTGTTACTGTATTCATAATAACACTGATGAGATTAATCACTTTGAATTATGAAGCCGAATTCTTTGCGCAGTTGATGAATGTGAACAGCTTCTAGTCCAGCAAGCTTAACACATAGATCTTCTGTGGCAAAATGTTTGTTTTTATTTAACACACATGTTTTCTTTAAATGGTAATAGACATTCTGAGGCTGCACCGAGAAGGTGAGAGCGCCCGCTCTGGTTTTGTACATTCTCAGCTCCTTGCGGCACAAGATAACATCAAAGGGTGCAGGGGGCAGCGCGTCACTTGGCTGACCAGTTGGCTTGGGCCTGAGTGGATAGTCACATCCGTAGCACATGTACGCTTTCGTGTCTTTTNAATTTAAAATGGATCAGTTAAGGTTTCTGGGAAACTGCCCACCTACCCCTCCCCTAACCCAACATTTTGCCTAAAGTGAGAAGTCAGTGTTAACGTTGGGTTAGGGGAGGGGTAGGTGGGCAGTTTCCTAGAAACCTTAACTGATGCAAACAAATTTCAACATGGTTCTAATTTAAACTTGAAATGTATGCTGAGACCTCATAACCTGTGTGAAAATTAACCATGCACAATATTATTGAACAGAACTTCTCTAACCACTAACAAGTACAAAACAAAAGAAGGGAGAGATCCTTTAGCGGGCTTACTGTTACTGTATTCATAATAACACTGATGAGATTAATCACTTTGAATTATGAAGCCGAATTCTTTGCGCAGTTGATGAATGTGAACAGCTTCTAGTCCAGCAAGCTTAACACATAGATCTTCTGTGGCAAAATGTTTGTTTTTATTTAACACACATGTTTTCTTTAAATGGTAATAGACATTCTGAGGCTGCACCGAGAAGGTGAGAGCGCCCGCTCTGGTTTTGTACATTCTCAGCTCCTTGCGGCACAAGATAACATCAAAGGGTGCAGGGGGCAGCGCGTCACTTGGCTGACCAGTTGGCTTGGGCCTGAGTGGATAGTCACATCCGTAGCACATGTACGCTTTCGTGTCTTTTATCCAAGTGCATGTGTACAGACGCTCAGATGACTGAGGCTCGTGGGACCCACTCGTATCTGTAGGCATAGATGACTGCAAGTCGCTGGCTGTTTCCCTTGGCTGGAACTCACTTGTGTCCCTGGCG